ACCTAACACACTTTTTCACCAATTGTGCTTTCTTCCTTGACACTCGGTACCCACACTCAAGCAACAGTTCTAACAATACCTTTGTGTTGTCCCAACATAAATCCTCTGACTGTCCTGTTATTAACACATCATCATCATATTGTAAAACTGTATCCCCTTGCTGACGAGGGACATAATACTGCAAATCAGTGACTAGGGCAGTTCCAAACAAAGTAGGAGAGTTCTTAAACTCTTGGGGCAACTGAGTCCAAGTATATTGTGTTTTTGTCCCAGTGTAGGGGTGCTCCCACTCAAATCTAAACAACGGCTGGCTTATTGGATGTATTGGAATAGTGAAAAAGGCATCTTTCAAATCAATAACAGAAAACCAACTGGCGTGCGGGGGGATCAAACTGAGCAGGGTATAGGGGTTCGGCATGGCCGGATGTAGGGTCACGGTCAGGTTATTCACAGGCCTAAGGTCTTGAACAGGGTGGTAAGACCTGTCAGACTTTTTAATTGGGATAATTGGGGTGTTCCAAGGGGACTGAATATGCACCAATATTCCTGCTTTTAAATATTTTTGTATACTTTCATAAATGGCATAAATGGCTTCCCTGGAAACTGGCCTCTGACCTATGTGCACTGGCCTAGCCCCCGGTTTTACCTCAACCACCACCGGTGGGTGATGGGCAGCAAAGCCTGGTGGGTTATCCTCCGCCCACAATCCAGGCACCTCAAATTGCATCCACTTCTCTTCCAAAGTCTCTATGCCAACCTGTCTTCCTATCATCAATCTCCAAGTCTCTTCTGGTGAGTGCCTAACCATCACCTTCTGTTGGCCGTCATCAAATTCAATGGTTGCTCCTAACTTGCAAAGCAAGTCCCTTCCTAAAAGTGGAATAGGGCATTCTGGGATATAAAGGAACTCATGTTGAACTTCAGTTCCTTTAAAATCACAAGTGACTGGTTTCAAGACCTGGCGCCCCAGGACCTATCCAGATACACCTTGGACTTGAATTCGATGAGGTCCAGGTGCTGAAATCAGCTTATTCACAACTGATCTTCCTGCTCCAGTATCCACCAAAAAAGTTGTCTGTTGGCCCCCAATATTCACTGTAACCAATGGCTCGGGTGGGGCCTCCTCCAAGCCCGGTCCCCATCAGTCTGACCATCCCATTTCGGCCAACCCGATCGTTTCCGCCTCTTGCCTTTGATTGGGGCTTCCAAAACCACTAAAACCTCTACCAAAACCTCTACTTCCCCAATTGCCACGCCACCCTCTGTCGCCACCTCTTCCTTGAAATCTTCCGGAAGCCATTCCTCCACGCGCCCCAACAATTGGGCTGCCACCCGGTCTTCGCATCACACCTCTTCCTCTCAGCATTCTCCTTGGACATTCTCTCTGCCAATGGCCTTCTCCTCTGCAACACGCACACTGGTCGCGACCTAGGGATTCACCCTGTTCAGGGCTCACAGCCATTCCTCCCTGGAATGTCAATGCCAATAACTCAGCCTTCTTTTGCATTTTGGCATCTTTCTCCCTTTTCTCCACCTTATCTCTATTCACATACACTTTCCTTGCCAGCTCCAACAACTCACTTATATTCTTGCCCAAGGCTCCCTCTACTCTCTGCAATTTCTTTCTAATGTCCTCATAACTCTGCGCTATGAACCTTTCATTCAACATCCTCACATTTCCTGGACTCCTTGGATCCACCTGAGTATACAATTCATATGCCTCTATCAATCTTTGCAAAAAACTTTCTGGACTTTCATCAGCTCTCTGAACAACCAGTGAAGGTTTTGACATGTTAACCAGGGGTTTCCCCGCCTGTCTTAAAGCCTCTACCACCAGATTTTGATACTCTCTTAACCGAGTCATATGCTCAGGGGTCCTAGGATCCCACCCCGGGTTTTCTACCGGCGCTTTGTCCAACAATGTCTGTTGAAACTGATCCTCATTATCATTCGGGTTTCTAACTTTTAAACAATTTCGACCAGCTCCTTTCCATTTCTCTCTCTCCTCCGGAGTCAGCAAAGTAGTTAACAGCTGCTGCAAATCCTGCCAAGTTGGATTATGAGTTTGCATAATGGTCTGAAATAAATCTGCCATTTCAGTAGGCTTGGTAGTCAACGGCCCATAATTTATTTTATTTTATTTATTTTATTTTTAAATTTGTATACCGCCCTTCTCCCTGAGGACTCAGGGCGGTGAACAGCCAAGTAAAAGCATAAACTACAAACATTAAAATACAATTAAAAAGATATATATAAATTTGGCCCCATGATTAAAAACAATAAAAACAATTCAAAACATTTTAAAAAGTGTTAGGCCAGCCCGGCTTGCTGGAAAAAGAAGGTTTTAAGGGCACTGCGGAAGGCGCCGAGGTCTTGGATTCTCCTTATCTCTGGGGGCAGCTGATTCCAGAGAGTAGGTGCCCCCACAGAGAAGGCCCTCCCCCTGGGGGTCACCAGCCTACATTGTTTGGCTGATGGCACCCCGAGGAGGCCCTTTCTGTGGGAGCGCACAGGTCGATGGGAGGCCGTCGGTAGCAGCAGGCAGTCTCGAAGATAACTAGGTCCTATGCCATGGAGCACTTTAAAGGTGATAACCAACACCTTGAAGCGCACCTGGAAGACCCCTGGGAGCCAGTGCAGCTCACGCAGGAGAGCTGTTGTATGGGAGCGCCATGCGGCTTCTGTGACTACCCACACAGCCGCATTCTGAACCGGTTGGAGCCTCCGGGTGCTCTTCAAGGGAAGCCCCATGTAGAGAGCGTTGCAGTAGTCCAGGCGAGAGGTGACGAGGGCATGAGTGACTGTGCACAGGGAATCCCGATCAAGAAAGGGCCGCAACTGGCAAATCAGGCGAACCTGACAGAAGGTCCCCCTGGCTACAGCCATCAGATGTTCCTCCAAGGACAGCTGCATATCCAGGAAGACTCCCAGATTGCGCGCCCTCTCCGTGGGGGCCAAAGACTCGCCCCCAATAGTCAGTGATGGAGTCAACTGACTATATTGGGATGCCGGGAACCACAGCCACTCAGTCTTGGAAGAGTTGAGCTTGAGCCTGTTCCTCCCCATCCAGATCCGCACAGCTTCCAGGCACTGGGACATCACTTCAAGGGCATTGTTGGGGTGGCCTGGGGTGGAGATGTACAGCTGGGTGTCATCAGCGTACTGATGGTACTTCACCCCAAAGCCACGGATGATCTCGCCCAGCGGCTTCCCATAAATGTCGAACAGAAGGGGCGAGAGGACCGACCCCTGAGGCACTCCACATATAAGAGGCCTCGAGGTCGACCTCTGCCCCCCTACCAACACGAACTGCGACTGGTCGGAGAGAAAGGAGGAGAACCACCATAACACGGTGCCCCACATCCCCAACTCTTCCAACTGGTGCAGCATGATACCATGGTCGATGGTATCAAAAGCCACTGAGAGGTCTAACAGGGCCAGAACAGAGGAGCAACCCCTGTCCCGAGCCCTCCAGAGATCATCTACCAACACGACCAATGCCATTTCTGTGCTGTGCCTGGGCCTGAAACCCGACTGGAACGGATGTAGATAAGACGTTTCCTCCAGGTACTGCAGAAACTGTCGTGCGACCACACTCTCGACAACCTTCGCCACAAAGCGAAGGTTGGAGACACGACGATAGTTGGCTAATACTGCTGGGTCCAGGGAAGGCTTCTTGAGGAGAGGCCTCACCACTGTCTCTTTCAAGGCCGTGGGGAAGTAACCCTCACTCAATGAAGCATCAATAATTCCCTGGAGCCAGCCTCGTGTAACCTCCCGGGAAGCCAGAACTAATCAGGAGGGACATGGATCCAGTAAACATGTGGCCGCACTAAGTCTTCCCAGAATCCTGTCCATGTCATCAGGGGTCACAGAGTCAAACTCTTCCCAGATAACATTCTCAAGACTATTCCTCGCCACCTTGCCCGAATCTACCCAGTCTGAGCGATTTTGTCATACAGATAATGTTGTTTCCAATTCAATAAATCAGTTGTAGTAAACTGCACATACTGAAAAAGAGGAATAATCTCTCTATTTCCCTGTGCATTAACCACTTGCTGATCCATCTGATGCAACAGTGCTAAAAATTCCTGCTTTGCAGCAGCAGCTTCTGCTTTTGCTGTAGCCGAACGGGTTTGCACCCCTACAGCCACCTCTCCACCTACTGCCCCTAAAGTTTCATCATCATCATCATCACTTTGCCCACTACTGTCAGCAGAAGGACCCGGCTTAACTTTCACTCCACCTCCATCACCACTATCCCTTCTTTGTTGTCCATCTCCACCTCCAGCCGGCCCTGGCACAGGCTGGTTCTGGGGTGGCAATGGAGGAGCACACGGGGTGGGGGGGTGTCTCATCACTTCCTCTGGTTCTTCTGTCAAAATTTTCCTTCTCATAACATATCTCTCAGCCCTTTCACTTTTCTCTCTTTCACACTTAGCCTTCAGCCTTTTATTTCCTGGTCGAACTACACACAAACGAACCATCTCTGCTTGACATTGCAGCAATTCATCAGCCCTTTCAGTTAAAGCATTCACCCATTAATCTATGTATGGGAACTGGTTGGGGTATTTCTCCTGATTTACTGCTATTTCACCCCACAGTTTATCAGCTACTTCCTCCTTGAAAGATCCTTGCGGAGGCCACCCAGTTCCCAGCTGCGGCCACACAGTTTCACACAAAAACCTCAATCTATCTTTCTTTCCTTTCAGATATAAGGGGTCACTAAAATAAGTATTAAATCCTTTTAACATGCATGCCAACGGTGTGTTGGGCACACCCTGTTTCCCCCCCCATCCTATCACACTGTCACCGACTCGCAGCCCCGGAGCTCACAGTCACTAACGAGAACTGCGGTGACTTAACCACCCACACAACCTAACACGGACTTCTTTAGGGTCTGCACCCCGAGTCCAGGAGGGTGATCAGTCCCCCGCTTCTGTCTTCAAGCGAGACAGGTACTACACACTTTAATATACACTCGCCTGAAGCATCTTCACCTTCTGTTTCCTGGCCAGGAATTGTTCAGACTTCTTTCCTACACTGCAGGGTTCTTGGGCTCACTCGTAGCACCGTCGGTACTACAGGGCTGTCGCTGCCGTCTCCCGGAGATCCAAGTCCCCGTGGCGCCTGGAGAATGTTCAGGACCGACCATCCGGTGGGGCCGAGGGGTCGACCGGCCCTCAGCGAAATATCACCTTGACCTCAGTCCCAATCTGGGTCGCCGGGTAACTGTTGTAGGAAAGACAAGACTAGGCCAAGCTCTTCATTGTAGGAAAGTTTATTCAAACTGCAAAAGCAAGCAAAATGTCTGAACCCCGAAGGGTTGCACAAAGTGAGGTTTATATAGTGGTTAATACGTAACAGTTGCTATATAGACATATAAGGTAATATAAGGAACTAAACCGTTCCTTCCAGACATGGGAGTTGAGATAATACAGCAAGGGAGTAACATATGTTATCTAAGTCTGGCATGTGACATCTTGGGACAGCAGTTCCCAGAGAACAGGATTCATCTGTCTGGGTCATGAAGACAAAAATACATTCTTGCTAATACAGCAATTTATCTAGCTGACAAAGGGGAACCAACTCCGGTTTCAGGCCTGTTAATATCAAACATTGGTTCGAACCAAGGATTTGCTTACCTCAAAAGGAAGCAATGAGTGATCAAATTTTATCACCCAAATAATTTGGGTGATAAAAATCTAAATATGAAATGGTCTAGAATGCTCTCTTTAACTAAGTGAATAGTCAATCAAATTGTAAATTGGTTAATTTGAAACAAACTGAATGATTCAATTTAAGTAAGTGCAAAGTGAAGTATACTGGTACAAAATTCACACATATACTGTTGGGATCTGAGGTATCTATAGCTACACAGGAAAAAGATACTGTATTAGAATCATATTGCAAAATTTAATCAATTGTCAACTGAAGCATGTGAATAGCTATAAAAAAAAGACATCTCAGATTTATGGATTATTTGAAAATGGACTGAAAATAAAACATTGCAATGTCCTTTTACTGTTCTGGTACAATAGAAGGACATTGTAATTATTTGGTACAGATGCATCTAGAATATTTTGTACTGTCCTAAATGCCACATTTGTTAAAATATATAGTAGGTTGAAACTTGCCTTACTACATTTGAGTTACTTTTTAGACTAGAAAACAGTAACATGGAGAGACATTATTAAAGTATATAGATTTATCCATGGCATGGAAAAAGCCAGCAGGGAAAAGGTTAAGACACTGTGACCAAGTCATCCAGTGAAGCTGACTGAATGGAGATTTATAATAGACAAAAGAAAGCACTTCTTTACACATTATATAATTCACCTATAGTATTGCAACATGCTGTATATTGATGACCACTAACTTAGATGGCTTTAAGAAGAAGGGGTAGGTACATTCATATGGGACAAGGGTTATTCATTTCAGCTATCCCCACTTTAATTCAGGTTTTTAATAGCTTTAGGAAAAACATAAGATTGGGAACATCTTCATGGGGGGGGGGGCAGTCCCTCCCAGGGACTCCTGGTACTAACTCCTGGTAGAGAGGAATTAGCTGGAATTTTCTGTCTGTCCAGGCTGAGTGAAATATTTATTGTAAAGATTCAGTGTTCTTCCAGATTGGACAGAATAAATGCCATTTATTTATAAATTGTACATTTCATCCTGCCTTTCAGTCAGGAGAAAAACTCAACATATTTTTTGTTCTTTTTTTTCCTCTCTTTTTTTTCTTACAACAACAATGCTCTGAAGCTGGTTGGCATGACAGAGAGAGAATGAACCACTGAACTTTCATAGCCAAAGGTAATTAGAATCTGGGTTGCCTTGCTCCTAGCCTGACATCTTGATTTGTACATAATGTTGCCTCTCAAATATTTTAAATATATTTCAAATATTGGTTCTAGAAATATCTGGCTGGTCACACTGAAAAACAAACTACTAACTTAAGTAATATATGCTTGGCCTGAACCAGCAAGGCTATTTTATTGGTTTTATTCTTTCTGGATGTGTTGAATTTCAGTTCTCACAATGCCCAATCAATGCTGCAATAATATCAGTTGTAATAAATGGAGAGCAGCATACTAGAGAAGTCTAGTGTATAGCAATCTTCAGTGTTGGAGATTTCAGTTCTTAGAAGTTCTTAATTCTTTGGCCAAATAGTTTAATGATAAGACCACTCTTTCAAACATAGATAGGCGTCTATAAATAGAGCAGTGACCCAATTCTTCTTTGCTATTTTTTTTTATTCAAACTGCTTTCTGATACAGATGAGTAAGTGATATAATTTGACAATTTGTGTCAGTATGTTCTAGATTGTGTCTATCTATGTCTGGAATTCCGCAGGATAATTTGGTATTCATAGGTCTTGATTTGCTTTCAGAGAATTTATTTGAAGATCCTATCACTGAATTGGCAGGATATGTTTATATGCTGTTCACTAGCTTAAATAAATTTCTGGCAATTAAATGTTAGCAGTTAAATGATGCCTTTTATTGGCTTGGTTTCTGCTGATTTATGTTTGAATATTTTGTTTGTATTTTCCTGTTTTCCCAGAGAAGATAATGCTTCCCAATGCTTCTGAATTTTCCAACAACTTTCACTAACATTGACTGTGATATCCTTCTGAATTATTTGTCAATGATGAAACATAGGATGTTTTCTTCAGTGTTTTTAATGCTATTCAAATGGGATTTTTCAAGTGGAAATTTCAGAATGAAACCTCTGGTGAAAGGAGTTTCTCCTTCACACCAGAGGTAGGTTTCAGCAGGTTCTGACCAGTTCTGGAGAAATGATAGTGGAAATTTTGAGTAGTTTGGATAACCGGTAGTAAAAATTCTGACTGACACCACCCCCATCTTTCTCTGCCTCCCAAGTCCCAGCTGATTGGGAGGAAATGTGGATTTTGCAGTAACCTTCCCCTGGATTGGGGAGGGAATGGAGTTTTTACAGTATCCTTCCTCTGCCACCCCCACCAAGCCATGCCACCCCCACCAAGCCACACCCACAGAACCAGTAGTAAAAAATTTTGAAACCCACCACTGCTTCACACAATGTCTTCAAGTATAAACTAGTGATAATGATGGTGATGCCATAATTCGGAGAACCAGGAAGGTTTTTCATCTTTAAAAACAGTAGACCCAGGAAACCATAGCTCAATCAGTGTCTAGGAAAATCCTAGTAAGATAATCAAACAGTCGGCTTGCAAGAGCAAAGTATTGGTAGAAGCCATCATTAATTTGTTAAAAACAGGCTATGCCAGAAAAATCATTGATTTTTCTTTGATAAAGTGACTAGTTAATAGACCAAAGGATTGCTGAGGATATAGTGTACATTAGTAATATATTTTATAAAGTAGACTATAATCTCCTTCTTGATAAAATGCAACAATTGTGGGATGGCGACAGAGCTGGAAATCAGGTTAGCAAAGAAATGCTGGGGGGTAGCAAGGGCATCTGGGTGATGATGGGTGGGGCTACTTCATGCAATGGAGAAATGGGAAATGGAGCAGCTAGTATGAGGGAAGGAGGAGCAGGCCGCTCTGTTTCCCGTTTATCCATTGCGGCATAGTGCCCAGGATCCACTTTGATAGCAGGGTAATTTAACAACCTGTTCGCCCAGAGTCAGGTTGGCCATTGCGGGAGGCTCTTTCCATATGTGTGGCGGAGGTGGAGGATAGGGATGGAAAATGCCTCCCACGACAGCCAACCTGACCCTGGGCAAATTGGCTGCTAAATTATTTGAATCCTACCACTGGAACTTCCGATCCAATAAAATGGCTGTTCAATGGTGAGAAAAGTAAGATTTTTGTGGTGCAGTGGTTAGAATGGAGGCTACTTCTGCTGACTGTCGGCTGCCTGCAATTTGGCAGTTTGAATGTGACCAGGCTCAAGGTTGACTCAGCCTTCTATCCGTCCAAGGTCGGTAAAATGAGGACCCAGATTATTGGGGGCAATATGCTGATTCTGTAAACTGCTTAGAGAGGGCTGTAAAGCACTGTGAAGCGATATATAAATCTAAATGCAATTAATATTATTATTCTTCACTTAAATAGGAAAACCCAGATGCTCAGATATAAAATAGGCAATATCTGGCTTGACAGTAGTACTGCCTGGAAGTATAAAGGATCTGGGATCTTCAGATTAAGTGTGAGCAAGCATTGTGCTGTAGCTGCCAAAGAGCCAATGCAGTCTTGATTTAGAGTAGTATAACATCAAGGTCATGGGTATAATATTCCTGTTCTATGCTGCTTTGGTAAGAGCAGCTGTAAAACCCTCTAGAGTACAAGGAAGAGGCTTAGGAGTTGGGAAGAGTGCAGAGATGAGCAGTAGAGATGGTGAGGCCCTTGGAGACTAAATTCTATGAAGATCAGTTTTAAAATGTGCATATATTTAGCCTAAAGAAGGACAGCAAGAGGATCTTTATTAGCAGTCTTCCAATTATTGAAAGTGTTAAGGCAAACCGGCGACCATGTGGCAAGGACGCACAGCTGATTGGTCCGCCGGCATGGCAACTAACTGGTGGGATATCAGAACATGCTTATTGGCAGAGACGCTGACAGCTCTGCTATAAAAGAGCTGTCAGTGCTGAGGAAACCGCCCGCTCACCAGTGTTAGAAGTAAGGAGCGAGTCATGGTTAGATTTTACTGTTAATGAATAAAGAGGTGTTAATTGTTAACCCACCACGCCTCCGTCATTATTGTTTAGCATTATAATACTGGCGACGAGGATGGGATTTTCTCCTCAGGCGGCAGGGTTAACAAAGTCACTTTAAAGAGCTGTCGCATGGAGCTGGGCCAAGGCGACAAGAAGTTGTAACATCTAAAGCCACATAAGCTGTCTTGACCCAGAATGGCAATCTTATCAACTTTTGCTCCTTTTCATCACGCAAAGGAGACCTGGGAGACCCTGAGACCCCAAATAATACATACCAGGGGTGAAATTGAGCAGGTTCTGACAGGTTCTGAAGAACCGGAAATTTTGAGCAGTTCGGAGAACCGGTAGTGGAAATTTTGAGTAGTTCGGAGAACCGGCAAATACCACTTCTTTCCTGGACCACTTTGATTGTTTCCTGTCAGCCAATCATTATAAGGGATTATCCGGGGATAGGAAGCTGGCTGTATTTCTCAGCGTCTATGGGCATGAGATGTTTGAAAATGCCCGAGCTTTATTGGCACCTTGTAAGGTCCAGGATATGCCATGGGAGACTCTGTTGGCTATTTTGAAAGGTCACTATGCCCCATTGCCGTCCAGAGCCGCCAGACGCCACGCATTTAGACATAGATATCAGCTGGAAGGGGAGACTATCACTCAATACATGGCAGCCTTAAGACAAGCTGCGCTGTATTGTGAATTTAGCGATCTGGAAGATATCCTGTTAGATCAGTTGATCTGTGGAGTCAGGGATATTCAGCTGCAGCGCCGTCTGCTTTCTAGGACTGATGTAATGCTGCAAACAGCAATAGATGAGGCTAGAGCCTCTGAGTTATCTGATCAGTTAGCTACGAAAATTAGGAAATCTGTCAACCCAGCAACAGTGGACAAATCATCCGCTGTGCACTATGAGGAAGTGGGGTTAGACCAGGCAAGTGATGGGGAAGAAGAGACCAACTGCCTTAAAACTTCTCCCCGGAAGGATAGAGATCCTGAGGGAAAGAAGGCCCAGGGTCCGTGTGGGGGCTGCGGTGGAAACCACCACCGTTCCACTT